AGACTAGCACCATGGGGCTAGTGGTTATGCATGCTATCCAATCACGCTTATAATGAGGATGGAGAGTGTCTGCTCTTAGCCAATTTTGTCTTTTACAGCTTCCTTGCTTTCATCTGCCTGCTTCATTCCTCTTCCCCCAAGCCTGATAATAAAGTCCCAGTTAAATTCACTGTAGAATCCAGATAAATCAAATCTGGTTTGGAGATGACTGCGGGATCGTCTGGGCTCCGCCTTTCTCTGCATCTGTGCATGTGTGTGGTGTGTCTTGCTTTCCCTGCAATCCCACTCTAATATAATCTCTAGTATTTTTATGGCCCTTGTCCCCACAGGGCTCTGCGCAAGGCACAGTCCTGGCCTGCAAGCACTGTTCAGTGCGTGCAAGCGCAGGTGCTTGTGTGCACGCACGCTGTCAGCATGCAAAGCAGTGATGGTGGTGACTAAGGAGTGGGAAGTGTTTCTAACCCCTCAGGCACTGGATCTCTACATCAGCTATCGGAGAGGTGCCGGAGGGAGGTGTTTCAGCCCTGGCTGCTCTGCGGCATGGCTGAGCACGCCGCGAAGGCCTGCTGCGACGCGGGCCCTCGGCCTCACCTCCCAGGGACAGCCCCACACAGGTGCCGGGACCGGGTGCTACGACTGCGCTTCGTGGTCACTTTGTGTACCTATGAGACCTGCAGCGAGAGCTCGCTTTTTGATTTTGGTCCTTGTCCCTTCAGCCATGTTATCCTGATGCTTCAGCAATGTTTCCCACTGTTTCTTTCATAACCCTCACTGTCACTTTTTTGAGGTGCATTCACCCTGGGACGTTTGCTACCCGCAACCCCTCTCTCCTCTTGCCGCTCGGCCCAGGCAGGCTAGCCTTCACCCATCGGTCTATCCCGGCAGTCTGTCTGCTAGCATCCTTCAAGTTGTGCTGCAAGGTGCCCAAAGTCAGCGGCACCCAAGCCCAGTGGTAGCAGAGCTGTATAGGGGCGCTCTTCCCCCCTAGTCAATGATTCTGAATGGCTTTTTTGCTGTGATTTTGCTTTGGGGCTCTCTTCTGCCAGGGGGTGCGCGGTGCCCCTCACAGCCACTCCTGCTGCCCCATCTCCCCTGCGTCAGCCTGTGTGTTTTTCAAAGCCCTCTCCCCACATACTCACTGCCTCCTTCCAAGCTACCTTTCCGGTTTTTAATTCCTCATTTCCCTTCTTTCACCCACCCATCTTCTGAGTGTTTCCCCATTATGGCTGTGAAGATACGTCTTTGCTGTGCAGTTTTCTCCCTCCCCCAAATCGGTAACTGAAGACCTGAAGCAAGACAAGCAGCAACCTTCATACATGCAGTATCCACTAACCAGCAGCCCACAGCCTGCCTGCTGGCATTTTCAGCACATTTGGATCCTGCTCCTTCAGATAGTTCCCAGCAGGTTCAGCGGCAACTTCCCATCCCTCCCAACTGGAAGTCACTGCCAGAAACATTTCTTGACACAAGGCGTGAATGTCTTACTAAAATCATCGGCCGCCTTTTACTAGAGCTCAGCTTCGTGATGTCCTTCTGCTCATGGCTGGACCATTACTTTCAAAAGATACTCAGTGACTATTCTTTCCTTATTGATTTATTAAAAATAAAAATATTTTATTAGAAATGTAATTTGCACGTCAAGGAAAGCCAGGAAAAGGTTTGTGCTTTCCTTTCCTGAAAACTGAGATCAAGATTTGTGCTCCAGACAGGCTTCTCTAGGTCTGTGTAGGGGAAAAAAAAACTCTGTGAAACAAATATTCATTTCCCTTAAATATTTTGAAAATCCTTAGCAGCCATCTGCCATACAACCCATTATCTGTTTTTATTAGTAAGATGAGAGACTGAAGAAAGCAGACGATGGTTTTGGGGAGGGAGATATGGAGGGTATTCACTGAAATAGGCAGAGTTTTACTAACACAGGAGTTTTTTTGAATGGTTTCCTTTTCCTGAGCAGCTTTCAAAAATGTGACAGCTGCTGCCAGAAAAAGCCCATTGACAGGGACATTTAAAGCCGTATACTGCTCTAAAACCTGTGCAGAGTGGAAAAATCTGGCCAAAGGGACAGGATCACTTGGGAGGTAACTGGGCTTTTCACTCTCTAGAGTCTTTACCTCAAACTTCTTTATTTACATTTTCTTCCCGAGGATAGACTTAAACCCAAGGTGATATGCTGTCTATCGGAAAGACTGGTATGCCACAGGGAACCTTGTGCCAGGTGGAAGCGTGTCTCTGCTATACAACATACTGCAGAGGAAGCAATTACTGAGGTCTCCAAGGAGGAGAGTAACATTTGGGGTTGCAAGGTAATAAAGTGGCACACTTCAGGAGCTGGGAGCATGCTAGGGAGCTGCTGTAAAACACAGCGCTCAGGTACTGAAGAGTGCAAAGTAATTGTTTCTCTCTTCTGGGGAATTCTGATATTTCACTATACATCTTTGTGCCAAGGGGGGTTGGAGACCCAAAGCAGCAAACACTCCTCAGAAGGAGAGGGGTTGAAATAGTTCATCTCAGAAATTTCCACGGGAAAAGCAGCAGTGTTATTGCAAACACAATGTTTCAGCAATCTGAAATGGAGGAAAGAAATAGGGAGGTGAAATTTCTTGAGGAAGAAATCAGTGTTGACAAAACTGTCTTTGTGTATGGGGATCCCCTTTGGACCCAGATTTATCAGAAGCTGATGGCCCAGTGCTAGGGCTAGGTGGCTGTTAGTACCCAGGGGTTGAGCTGATCTAAGTAAAGGTCTGATGTGATGTTTGTTTACTTAAATTGCCACCGTTTCAATGTAGACCAAGCCCCGTGGGGTCTCCCGTTTAACCCGCGCATCCCTCTGTTCTCTGTGTGGTTAGCTGGGTGGCCAGTACTCCCCAAGCTGGCACCCAAGCCAAAACACTACCCAAAACGCCCTCACCACAGCCTTCTGTCTTTCTCGATTTCTGGTTACCCTCTGAGCCTCAACTCAGTCTTTGAAATGCCTAGAAAACATCCTGCATATGTGAAAGCCATTAGCTGAATGTATAATGTCTGGAGGGCTGTAATTCATTGTGTGAGCTTCCACTTTGGGAAGTCAGGAAGGCTTCTCAAGTAGATGCTGGCGTCTTATCTGCTTCTGTGCTGTCTGTTATCCTTCGTAGCAGCACAAATTATGAACCAGCATAAAAGATGTAGTAGGTTTCTTCCTATCAGACTGCACGTGGCTTCTCAAGATGCATTATAGATACAGCAAATCCTCATCTTAATCCAGTCTGAATCAGATCATCTTGTTGCATGGCTGCATCCTTATCTTACTACCAGCTGGGGAGAGATGAAGAGATGCTCAGTTTGCTGAGAAAGCCTTAGAGCCATGGAAGGGGAGGAGGGATCTAGTTTTCTCTAGCGTTGCCAAATCCTACTGTTCCGATTAGCTTCATCTTGACATCACCTCCACGTGGGCAATAGGCTTTTCTTCTTCCTTGCCTCATTGAAATAACAGCCTCCTTGTTCCCGCTCTCTCTGCCTGCTCAGGACCACCCTCTGTCAGGATGGAGAGCGTGCGTGAGCTCCAGAACCCCCTCTTGGCCAAGACCAACGGGCACCTTCATGGCGGCTATTCTTACCACCAGCATCACAGCCAGGACTACCCCAGCCATCGCTGCCAGGGGAAACTGTACTCCTACATCTTCCAGAACACTGGCGGTGCCAGGACTCACCAGCTGCTGGATGCCAGTTCCCTGCAGCTGGCAGTTGAAGCCTTGTATGGCCCTAATTTCATCCTTGTGAAGGATGAGACCACTCTCAAGGCCAAGGACAGCAAGACAGAAAGCTGTGAGACCACTTTCACGGAAAGCAAAGAGGCCCCATCCGAAGGTCCCGATGGGTGCGACACACAAGGGTCATGCCTGGTAGAGAGTGACATCCGCATCCAAACTGTGTCCTATGAGGTGGAGGAGGAGGAACTCCAGGAGTATGAGGTGAGCTCTGCAAGGGTGGAATAGTGCCAAATCCTCCTCTGATAATTGTGGCCATCAGGCCAAATTCTTGGTCATTTATTCTGTGTTCTTCACCCTTTGCTTCCCTTCTCTCCTCTCATTTTCCATAGCTTCCCTCCTAGACCCTCTTCTGCCTTGTCAATCTTCCTCTGTGCACCCAATACTTCTTCTTTCTCCTTACAATTTCTACTCCCCCCTCCTCACCACAGACCTCAGAAGCTTCCCTGATGGCAGCTTGGTTGCATCTTCCCTGGGAGAGAACGGGAGATGTGGCAGTCTGTGCAAGACCCTAAGGATAATGCAGAGTGTTTGACAAGGGCATCTTGTGGCTTCTGTGATACTAGAATTAATGGGAAGTAGCAACCATGTTGAACAACAGTAAAATTTACAAGCTGATGCCTGCAATCATGAGAAAGCTTAATATATAAAGACAGGATGAATCTTACAAAGGAAGAGTAAGAGCTGGCAAAGCAGCTTTACACTGTTTGCCTCTCCACAATTTGCATGGTGGTGCAGAGGCTGGGAACACCCCCCAGGACCCTGAAGTCAGCGTGGGCCCCCAGAGCCTGCTGGAGTTGACATCTGATGACCTGGTACAACTCCGCTGGTTTAGATGCTGGCGATATGGCTTTTTCAGACTGTAACATGGTTTTCCTCACTTCCGTGTGCCTTTCCCACAGAGGCATATCATTTCCAGGCTGGTCTGCTGGACAAGGGTGCCCACATGCAGGCAAAACTACTGCAGCCATTCTGAGAGGTGCTATTGCTAAGACAACAGGGCAAATCAGCACTGTGATGGAGGCTCCAACTGAAGTGCTTTCCCTCCCTTTCTAAATTAGTTTAGCAAGACATTGACCTACTAGTCCCTAATGGGGATAAGGGACTATTTAAGTTTGCTTAAGCTGACAAATAGCCAGTTCCAGCAAAGCTCAAGATATTTCAGTTTAAGAAAACCTCCCAGGGAAATCCCAGACCCCCACCAAGCGAGCTCGGCATTTACTCTTGCAGGGAGCTGAGAATCCATTCCATTTTTGAATTTGTTGAGCTACATATTTTCTTATCAAGCCAGGCTGAAGATGATAAAATATTTTTGAAACTCATTCCTTAAATTTGCAGATAGTAAGCATAAGAAATTGTGATGGGGCTAGGAGAGAGCAGGAGCTGCGAGAAGAGAGGCTGTGAAATAGCCTGCAGGGAAGCAGGGAGGCAAGGGGCCTGTAGGTATGAGGAGATAGGCAAGCTCAGCCCTGCCAGGATAGGGAGCAGTTTGCGTCAAGGGCTTGGAGCAGACTCCTTCTACATCCCCACATGCTGGTCTGTCTATGAAGGCCCTGTGGCTGAGGCTAGACAACAGCCCACGCTTCCTCCACATCCCACAGCTGAGGAAGCCCATCCTCTCTTGTGGCTGATGACAAGATCTGTCCAGGGCAGGCTGGAGCCAGGCAGGGAGGAGGAGGAGGGTATGATGGAGCCGCAACTTATGCAAGGTCACTGGGACGCTGACAGGATGGCAGGACTAACTCAGCTGCAGGGAGGCTCACGGATGTGTCGGTGTGGCAGGGAGGCCCATGAGCGATGAAGGACATTTGCATAAGCTGCCTGGTGTTCCCGGAGAAGGCAGCCCCGAGCCTCGCACTGGCCCTGAATTCATCTATTTTGCAGAGTGATTCCTCCAGCGACAGTGAAAGCGAGGACCATTTCCTGATGCTTCCACCCCGGGACCACCTGGGCCTGGCCCTTTTCTCCATGCTGTGCTGCTTCTGGCCCCTGGGCATCGCTGCCTTCTACTTCTCCCAAGGGGTAAGAGATCCCGTGGGCTGGCTCCTGTGCTTGGCCGCGTGCACTCAGCTACACTGAGGCACTGGAGCAAGTGCCCTGCAAGCCACAGAAACCGCTCAGAGGGCGACAGGCACCTTTCTGGCCTCTGAAGCTCCCCTGTGCATCATGCCCAGATCGCCAAGGGCTGAGGCACAGGGTGCCTCGTGCTCCTACACCGCTCCACAACCACTGCGGGGAGAGCAGAGGCTTTGCTCTTCAGCAGATATATATATGGGATAGCAGAGGTCAGGTTTTTCCCTTGGGTCCTTCAGGTGTTACTTAGGGACCTGGAGCTTTCCTTTGCCCCTTGCCCAGGTTCACACCCTTCAGCCAGGCTCAGGAAGGCAGCGATTCACTATTAACCTCCCATTCCCCAGTAAGCACCGTGTGGAGGTCCTACGCCATGGTCTGGGCCATGCTGAGCCAGCTCATGCACCGGGGAGTCAGGCTGCCAAGACTGGGTGCAACTGGGAGTCTGGTCTCTGCATCTCACTACAGGTGCATCACTACATTTGTTTCTGATGCTGGTTCGTTAAACTCTGTGAGCCAAAACCAAACTGCTTAAAGCTGGAAAGGAGGGTCTCTCGTCTGATTGAAACTGCTCTGGGAATCCCAGGACACCCTAGGTTGCAGACCCACACCGGGTGGCCAATTCCCATTGCCTTCCCCATGTGTAAACTGGCAGTAATGTTGCTGACATCACCAGTGGGAAAGTAGCAGAGACTGGAGAGGGCTGTGGGCCTTGGGCTGCACCAGCTTGGAGGAGCTGCTGCGTTCATAAGGACTTAACCCAGAATCTGGTCTCAGTTACATTGATGTTAATCCAGAATAATTCATGCCAGGAAATTGAGTCTAGGTTTGTACAGATGTTGCTGTACCAAGAATAGATGGGTGGAGGGTTTTAAAAAGTTAAATTAAGAGGATGGAAACAGAAATGGAAAAGTATGTTTATAATGAGTACCTAGCACAGAGATAGTGAGAGAAAGGGAGGCTTTAACCAGCTAGGACCCTTTGAGAGGTGGCTTATCTCACATCTTTGCACATAGTGGAGGCAAATATGGTGACTGCTCCATGTGATGATGTACATCATCCAATTTAAATTTAGCAATTAGTTCCATTTGCTAAAATTACCACGTCTTTTCGTTTTGGGGCAAGGACCATCTCTTTATTCTGCGTTTGTGCACAATGGGTGTCCTGATCTCCATACAGCAACTCTAATACAAATAGTAGATAATACTAAGAGTAGCCTTGAACATGCCCTAAACACTCAAGAACGGTGCCCAACCCAAGGAGCTAACATTCATATTCATCTTTATCACCGATTGCATTAGTTTATTCTATGTCAGATAGGTTCCAATTGGAAACTAGACGCAGATAAAGTCAAGAATCAGTATAGCCAGACCAACAGGCCAAGTTTTATGGGGTCCTCTCTCTGAGACAAGGCAGTACCAAAGGCTTTAGCAGCAAGAATAACTTTCCAGTATTGCAATATTCAAATCCAGGCTGATCCCTGAAAGACTGTGATCCTACCTAAAGTTCCTGCAGATCCGCTGCGGGTATTCTTATAAAGGAACCCCCACAGCCCATGGTAGTAATTTCTGCAGATTTGTTCTTTATGTGTGAAAATATGCATAAATATGTCATTAAATGGCCTCATATTCCTTCATTTCAGAAGGGATGGCACCCAGTCCCCTTCGCGGTGCCACTCATAAGGCATATTCATATCTAGTCCGTAACACAGAGACAACACCCAGGTGCACCAACCATTTATCTTGACTTGCAAAAGTCCAGCAGCCTCTCATGGCTCTGGCTGAGCTCCCAGACGTCTGGAGTTTGCAGACAAATGGCCGAAGCCTCTGGTCAACTTTGAGACAAAATCTGCAGGCAGAAAAAGAGGAGATGCAGGGAAACGTGTGGGTATGATGTGGCACCCCTGTGCTGAGCCTTCCTGGACCTCCCCTTGCTGTCTATCCCACCATGCTTCCCTGTCTCTCATAGCCTTCGTGGAACGAAGTGGCCGAGAGACACAGACTGATTCAGTTGTGTGCTGAAAAATCGTATAAGGCATGGCTCCAAGATATATTCAGTGCTCTTCCTGAGATCTTTTTAAATATAGAGACCCCAGCAAAAACAAGGAGCATCAGCAGACTTCCCAGTTAGCCCGCTCAAAGCATCAAAGTCTATTAGTAAAGTGCTGCAATGTAACAAGATTAGGATTCAGTTTGTAATAATTTAGGTATCAAAAAATGCAGCAGTTAGTTAGCTTAGGGTCCTTCTCAGGTCAGTACAGAGAGGGACAGCTGCAGAGGGCATTTTGGGCCACTTATCTAAGACCCCTCCCTTTGGATAGGATGAATAGCCCTCTGGAAGGGTCTGTCTGCTTCTCATGAGAGAGCCTGTTTGGACACCTGAATGCCTCACTTCCAGCTACTGCAATTGAACAAGAAAAGTTCCAGCACTCATCTCTGCACAGACACGCCTTCTGTGCATGCCCTTATGCAACTATATAGCACACAGGCAAAAAGGCCAAATTGGTGCAGTCACGAGCAATGAACATTTCCAAAAATCCACCTGAAAGCAAAGCAAAGACAGCTTCCTCTGCAAATACCCATATTCACTCCCTAAAAATCACAGCAACCATCTCTCTCCATATGGTACAGTTTAAGGCTGTAAGACCTCGGAGCATGTTCCTGTCATTGAAAGAAACCATCCAAATATAATTCCTCTCCCCTTTAGGCACGACATTCAAAGGGCACAAAAGTGCCCTGCGGGCACAAAATCCAGCTGACAGTGCTGTTCCCCCACTTTGAACCAGCCACCTGCCTCTTTGCAGAGTTTGTGTGCCCGATCACTGCCAGACCCAAACTGTGTGATGAGATCCTTACCCGTTGCCTTCTCTTTGCAGACCAGTAAGGCTGTCTCCAAAGGAGATTTCCACCTGGCCAGTTCAGCCTCACGACGAGCTCTCTTCCTCGCTGCGCTCTCCATAACCATCGGTACAGGAGTGTACGTCGGGGTCGTTGTAGCACTGATTGCTTATCTCTCCAAAGGGGGCCATGTATAGCTGCCACCTACACATTGACACCATCCCCAGCAGCCAGCCCTCCTGGGATCGAGCACAGGACGCCAGTACTCTCAAGGGCTACTTGCACAGGAGGATCCAGGCTTGGATGCCCTGCACAGGCTCCTTCTCCTTTCAGACAAACAGTAGACCGACCCCTGTTCTCCCTAACGTTGTGGGATGATGCCAACTGCCAGCAGGAAATTCAGCACTGACCTGGGTGCTGGGACCAGGAAGAGCATGTTTCCCTTGTGAAAGAGGAGCAAGAGTGATGCTCCATGCTGCTGCTGGCCTGGTGCCATGACTCCCATGCCCACCAGGGCATTGGTTTCCCTTCCCAGGCCTGCAGCAGACAGATCCACTGCTTATTCCCTAGGCTTCACCCATGAAGGAGGCATGTGGGGAGGAGAGGGGATATGGCACTGGGGAATCATCACTCTTTCTTCTGGGAAATCAGGGTCATGGTGTGGTTTCAGGACCTCTATGATGAGGACAACATTCTCATCTGAGTGTCATGGGGAGGTACCAGCTGCAACAAAGCAGGAGGGCACAGCATGGACATGATGGCATGCTCTAGGGTACCCTCAGCATCCCCTCTGCAGAGACACTCCAGATCTAAGCTAGCTGGGGGCTGGCCCTGCCACTAGACTGGCCTCTTGCCCCTTCCAGATGAGAAACAAGAAGAAACACGGTCTGGTGGTTGTGCACAGTCACTTGAGTTGTTGAAGCTTGTTAAAGGGAAAGGCATCAAGGTTTTCTCAAGTGATAATAATGACAATCATGGTAATTGCAACTCGGAGCATCACTAAGGTTGGCATCCCACAGTGCTCAGCCCTTCAAAAGACTTGTAGTGGGAATTTTTGCCCAAGAAGTGACCTAGGAGGGGCAGGGGAGGGAGGCTGGGAGGGAAGCAGAGGGACTCCTGCGCAGACCTCCCAGATTTTGCTGCAGGACAGGGCTTCACTGCGCCCAGCTTCACTGGGCTTCACTGCCCAGCTCTCCCAAGTGTTGCCTCTTGCCTACAGGTTTGAGAAACATGAGCCCAGTCACTACCCCTGCCAGGGAATCCCTCAGGAGAAAAAGGTCAGTCTGCTGCCACATCTCCTCCTTTCCCAGAAGCCTGAAGGAGGCCGCTCTCAGCGCTAGGTCAGTGGCTTGCGCACAGAGGAGGATGGAAAGGAAAGGCTCATGTAACATGGGGGTGGGAGTGCTGTTTGCGAGGGGACAAAATCCAGAGAGGGGGAAGGCTTGGAGGGAGCACAACAAGACACAGGGGTGAACCCCAGGACACACCTCTTTCCACACCATGGAGAAGGGTACGTCCATCCATCCAAAGGCCTCTGCTGATAAGGAAACACCACATGCACATGCTTACATTTTACTTTTGCTTCTTTGTGTATTGTCAGCAACACGTCAAGTGCTTCAGAGGTGGATATGAGGGCAATGACTCTGCCCCAAAGAGCTTACTTTAAAAGGCCCTGCCCAGCGTCATCCTCCCTCTCACTACGTCACCCTTGTCCCCGTATCCCACCTTATAATCCCTCACCATGGCCATTCCTTCCCTTGCCTCTTCCTTTTTCCCGTGGACAGTGGGCTGTAGGCAGACCCTGGACCTCCCCTCACCCTCTTCCTGGGGTTTCTGTGCACACTGTAGCCAGCTCTGTAAGAGGCGCAGCATGCTCCTCAAGCTGTGTATCATTCAAATGTACATTTCATCCTGAAGAAGCATGTTAATGTCTGCAATTTCTGTTGTACTTGAGCCATAAAAGAGAGAAGCACATCAGAGACCTGTTCAGAAGCTATTCTGAAGGTTCCCATTATGTTTTATAACACAGAAGAGCTAATAAAAGAGAAGGAAAAAAAAGAGTATGTTTATAATAACATGGAGCTGGATAGCAAGGAGGTGAGCTTTGCACGCTGCTCCAGGAGTGCTGAAAACACTTAAAGCTGAAGATGTTCATGCAGTTCCCTAAGGAAGTTATAATCCAGCTGGTGTCTGGGCAACTCAGAGGGAGATGTACAGCAATGTAGATCACAGCAAGAGGCTAACACTGGGAACAGCATGGTAATGTAGGCCTCTTGCCGTGTGTGGATGGACAAGAATTATGCAGAGCAAGAGACAGGAGTATCATTTACATTCAGTCTGCTCTGTGTATAGTAGAAGCATAAAATAAAATGTGCTTAAAAGGGATGGAAAAATATGAACACCAGGAATGAATAAACAGGCCTTGCTTATGATGGTGGAGCAAATAGAGGCTGAGCTCACAAGGAAGGACCAGGGGGTCCAGAAGACAGAAGGTTGCTTAGAGAGGAGAGACTAGGGGCAACCTCATCCAACAGCCAAGGGATAGTTTTCATTCCCTTTTCCTCCACATAGTCAGCCTTCCTGGTTTGTTTGTCCCTGAAAATAAGCGAGCAGGACAGGAAAAACAGAGAGCGGGCAAAGAGCTGCTCTAAGGACTGCAGCAGGCTTATCATACAGGGAGCATGGTGGGGTTCAAAAGGGAAGAGTTTTATCCTAAATCTGAATTTCTTACGCTGCACAAACTAAAAGCAGAGGGATTGTCATGCTTTGAGCCATAAACCACCCCCAGGGCCATAAGCAAACCTCACCTACAGCAATGCCCAGGTGCCCAGGCACAGTGGGGGCACCCACTGGAGGACAGGGCCCCGGGCAGCCAGGAGCCATGGGCTGGATGCTCAGTGGTGGTGGGAACTGGTGAGCTGGGGCCGCATGCGCTGAGGACAGGAGGGTGAACCCCGAGTAGTACATGTAGCAGAGAAAGGTCAGTGCATGGATAAAACCCCAGAGGACCATGAGATTAATGAATACAGTCTCCCACAGAACTGGATGCTGTTACAGAGCATGCGAAGGCCATGCTGGGGCTGGTGGAGGGCACGCACTCCTCGCTGCAGTCTACTCCACGTACCACTTCTCACCCTCGCAGAGGCATCCCAAGCCTTCACTGGGGGTCATTTGTAGTGGAAAGGAGCCTGCTGCACTATTTCTATTTCCGCTATTTCCCTATTTCCGCTCACAGGAGAGCGAGTCTCAGTACCACCAGGACAGGAATGAAAAGTCCAGCACCCCCAGCCTCTCCGTGGGGCCTGGTACCATCAGGTGCAGCGTGACCCACTCATGTCCCCCTGCTCAGTGGGGTCCTAGCTAAGGGCAGCTGTCCCCACCTCTCCGCTCACACACTCCCTGCCGGCAGCTGTCCCTCTGGGCAGAGCAGGGACCGGCGCAGAGCCCCACCGCCGGCCGCTGAGCGAGGCGAGATGCGCTTTCCCACGGGGCGCAGCAGCCCTGGCACCCGGTGGCGGGTGGCAGCTCCCCGGAAATAGAAAGTCCAGACAAAACTGTTCAGCCTGCTTGACCGGAATTGGAAATGAGACACTGCCTTCGCCTGTGAATACATAAGTCTCCCAGATCGCTTCCTCCGGGGTACCGGCGAGCTGCCAGCAGCGTAGTAGAGGGTCTGCCCCTAGAAGCGGGTGCCCACATGCCCCCAGCCCACGCTGGCTCGTGGAGGCAGGGCCGCCTCAGCTCTGTGTGAGGATCCAAATTCACCTCTTTTGTCTTTTTTAATTGGAAATATAAAGGGAAGGACTTGGTTAAAGGGCCAACAGCATTAAAGAGTGTTTTCCACTAGTAGCCTGAATCTCTGATGATCTTCTAAAAGGCGGGGAGGGGGCTGTATGAGAGCATCCTTAAGGGGGGTATTATGCAAATGAGGAAATTAGTTGGAAATAGCCTGAAGGGAAACATGTGGAAATTGAAATCTGAGGAAGGAGTATGGAGACTGTTGCTGAATAAGTTATTATAGACTCCCAGCATCTGCTGCAGCCCCCCGGAGCAGAATGGAGAGAAGCAAGAACGCAACAAGCCACAGCACTTGGGGCAAACACAAGCTCCAGAAATGTGTTTGAGCTAAAAAAAAATAATAATTTAAATAACCCTGCCAGGAGGTGTGAAAGGGGAAGTGTGGCCCTGCCCTCACCATGCAGGGCAGGCTGCAGCAGTGCCCCAGCGCCCAAGCCCACTCCCCCCTGCTCACTGCCCCCTGAGCAGCCAGTGCTTGTCCCCAGACAGCACCCTCCGGTCCACTGCTCTCAGCCCCATGTCTCAAACCCATAATAGCAAGAGAAGAAAACAGAGCAAGTCACAAGAAAGCCTGTTCCTGGGCCCTGCACCTCACTGCTGTGGGGGGAAGTGCCCCTGCCAGGACACCTCTCTCTCTCATTTCATGTGCCAGCAAAATGCCTGGCAGTTTTCTGGCTGCTCCACCAGCCCTATGAGAAGCAGGGGCACCAGATGTGCTGGATGCTGTCCTGGTGGTGAGGATGCGGCCATGGGGCAGCCCCTGGCCAGAGGCGTGAGGCAGCAGTGGGGCAGGTGTGGGAAGCCCAGCTCGCCGAGGAGCAGTTCAGCCCCACGCCACATTGCCCGCCAAGGACCGCACTCCTTGCCAGGGCCAGACATTGCCCCAGAACTGCGTTGCCCGAGGGGGCTGAGGCTGAGGCTCGTTGAGCCAGGAGCTCATGATGAGTTGCCTGAAAGCACAGCTTTTGCTCGGAGAGCGTCTGTGCTACACTGGGCTTTGGGCTCTTTTCCTAAAAGTGAAAAATGTGTCATCTTCCAGCTCGGATTCCTTTCATATTCTCTGCAATGTCAAGTTGAGCCCTTCCCAGCAGTCTCTTGCCTTCCGAAGTGGCTCCCTCCTGAGGGAGGAGAGGGCTGATGGAGCAGGTACAAGAGCAGGGGTGGCTTTGTATCCTGCCTCCTTCTGCGAGGCAACAAAAAAGAAAGCTGCCAAAGAGAAAAGTACTGGCATGTTGGCCACAGATCAAAGTGATGGATATCTCTGAGCCTTGTCTCTCACCACACACTTCCTCCTGCTTTGTTTGTGCTACTATCCCCCTTGGCAAACGCTCTAACACGGAGAAAAGGAGAAGCAGGCTCTGATGTTGGACTTCGTAGCAGTGACAAGGGATGCTGACAACAAGGCAATGTTGGATCTATCTCCTCTTCGCCGAAGAGCAGGGGATGAGGCGAGAGGATGGAGGAGAAATGAAGTGCTGCGGTTTTTACAGATCCCAGCACCCCTGGGATTTCCTGGGAGCTGACCCTTGCCAGCCCTATGGAGGGAGCCCCACGAGCCTGGGTCCTTGGCCAAAGGGGTCCTCTGGTGTGCTGTCCTCCCTGTCCCCCAGCTGTGAGCCAGCCAGACGCAGACCCAACCTGCCCGCTCCTCGGGGCTGGCAGCCCAGGGTTGGGCAACACGAACACCCGGGGCACAGACCAAGGTGTTGGCATGGCTCCTTGTCTGCTCCCGGCACCTTCATATGTCTGGGAAGGCACAGCTTCTTAAAGGGGGAATGGTGCCAAGGACAGTGACCAGTAGCAGGGGCAGGATTGCAACCAGTGATGCTGGAGCAGAAATATCTCTATCCCCCCACACGTCCTTTAGAGGCTAGGGAGAAAAGAGACAGAAATAAAAGGAGAGTAACTCCTTCTCCTCACTTAATGGCACAATCAATGTTTTCCCTTCACAGCGATTCAGAAAGGAAATAGCTAATTACCTGAGACAGGGTAAATTTTCTCTTCTTGTAGAAAAAAACAACAAGCAAAATGAAGAGCACTTCTCAGTGAATATATTCACCTGTCCTATCCTTTCCCCTTTGCTCCCCACAAACAGCCTGCAGCAGAGAGAGACGGGGGAAACACAGCCTGTGGCAGTGCCATCTCTCCTGCGGCTGGAGGAAGAGGATTTACACAGAGAGGAGCCAATTAAGGGCCATCACTCAGGCATCAGCTGCTGTAAAAAAAGGAGGCTCATTATCCCTCCTCTCCCTGGAGATGCCACAGCTGCTGCCAGCTCCCTCTTTCAAGGTCTCCCATAGCCATAGCCACGTGTGCACAAACGCCAAGGGGCCATACCAATGCACGGCCCCTTCCCTGCTTCCCCCTCACATCCGCCATGCGTCCCAGCCCAGGAATGTTCGGAGACCACATCTGCAGATGTGCCAGCTCCTCTAAGTTGACCTAGTTTTTGCAGCAGTTGGCAGTCCATATCCCAGAGTCAAGGGCTTTGCAAGAGAATTGCAGCTGCCCTTTCAAAGATGTACCTGAAAGATTTAACTGGAATATACTCCCAGGCCACAAGTTTGGGGGCTTTATAGACTCAAGACTAAAAAGTGCCAAAGTACCTGACTCAGGACAGGAGTTGTTAGGCAAGACAGGGCCTAAGCCCCCCACCCCAAAGGTGCAGGAGCTCCTCAGGGCAGAGTAGAGGAGCCAGCGCTGCCTCTCCAGCAGTACCAGGGAGAGGATGAGGAGCTGCACAGGAGGCCATCTGCTGCCACGCAGCACTGGAGGAGCCCCTCTTCTCCCCTCTGTCCCACAGCACTTCCACATGGCTGCGATTTTTCCAACTCCTTTTCTCACCAAATAGAGTCTGCAGGCTTCAGTGCTGCACACTGCCCTCCCTCCCGCTGTGGTGGCTGCCCCACACAGGAGAGCACGTGGGGGCAGAGCTGTGAAGATCCTCACCTGAGCTGGCGTGGAGACCTTGCGCTGTGACAGCAAGAGTCACTTTGTCTCCTCACCCCTCTGGAGGCCCCTGCAAAGACAGAGCTGAGCAGCAAGAAGGGGCCAAGGCTGCATTTTAATCGGAGCCAGCATCTGTCACTGCTGTGCACTGCAGAACACTAGCCTGCAATGGGAGTGCCCACTGCTCCCTGCCACCAGGAACCAGGCTGGAGGATGATGCTGGAATATAATTCATTCTTATTTATTGGCTGCATGTCAGAAATAGTAAAAAGAAGGAAAAGGCAGCCGTGCAAAACGAAGGGTGCTTAATGCAGAGAGTCATGAAGTGAGGCCTGCTGGAAATGCACAGTGACCGTGAGGCTTGTGCACTGCTTCCTGTCTCTTTCTCAACAGCCCGGAGCCACTAGCTTCCCTGCATAAATTGCAGGCAACAGGACCTGCATCCTAATAGCCAGAGAAAGTGGATGTGCCCAGCACCAACTGCACTTTCATGGGTTTTTCAGCACTTTATACCTGTCGTTTTTTACTCCCTCTAGAAAAACAGCAATGCCAGTTCATCAGGCTGAGCGTAGCAGCCTCTGTGCTGCGGGTGACTGCCTCGCGGGGCACTCCTGAGGACAGCCCCGTCCCCCCACGGCACGGGCCATCATGCACAGTGCTGCGGCCTGCAAGAGCATATTCAGAGGCATTGCGCTGTGTGGGGGTTTCCCATCTGCCAAGAAGGGCTCCAGCCACCACGGGTGAAGCAGGTGGGCAGGAGAGGGCTGCACGCCCAAAGGACAGCTCGGAGTGATGGCTCCTTGGGTGCCACTCCAGCCGCGGCAGGGACGCACTGCCGAGCCTCTCGACCAGCAAGGAAAAGGGGCATCCGTCCTTTCCCCTGCTCGCTCATAGCTGGTGTGGAGTGTGACTTTCTGGGAAAACATCCAATCTCTGTTTCCAAACTGCAAGTGACTGAGAAGCCATCAGTACCTTTGGGAAGTGGCTTACATGGCTAATTTCCACTGATGTTGAAAATGCGCTTCTTATTTCTAACCTGCGCTGGTCTCACTTCTGTTCTCAGCCTTTGACCCTTGTTATACCAGCTCGGCCCAATTCCCATTCCCCACCTAGCTCTTTACACACTGTGATCTTTACTAAGCTAAACAGGTTGAGTTGCCAGCTTCTTTCCCTTTTCAGGGCACATCTTCCCCACTGCTTCATCAGCCTGGTGGCCCCTTTCTGAAGCTCTCCATCTGAGCTTCTTTAATTTTTCACTTCAAAAAATGACATGGTATCCTATGGTGACTGCCCGAGTGATGACAACAGTATAACCCGGATACCAACAATATAACCCTCTTCCACCCTGTTTGTGCTAAGGACCTTTCTGACTGCAGGGCTGCACTCAACTCATTCGTGTCCTCTGGAGCTCTTTGGAGGCTTCCCACGACACTCGCTCCAGTCTGTTCATGCAGCCTGCATTTCGGAGATGTATAACCTCATGTGGTTGTACCAGGACACAGGCTACCCGGCAGTCCAGATCACATGCACCGGTGACCTGGCTTTTCTGGGGTTTACTGCCCCTCCTGCTTCTGCATCAGTGGCAAACTTTACAGATGCAAATCAATGTTTTCCTTCCTGAAGGAAAATGTTTGATAATGCGTGTCCAGGTCTCACCCAAGGGGCCTTCCAATAGAACATCTCCTGCTCCATGGTGACTCTCTCTTTACTTTTGGAGACTTGCCACTCAACTGATTTTTAATCCACTCAATGTTTGCTGTCTTAATTTTAAATCACTCTCATTTCTTAGTCAAAATGTCATGTAGAACCAAATCCAGTGTCTTATGGAAATCTGAGTGTATTACAGCGACATGATTACCTCTGTCAGCCAAACTTTTAATCTTGTACGGAAAAGCTATTACGTT